ATTTAAAGATCGTCAAGATTTAACGTGAAAAAATATCACAGAAAATGAAAAAAATTCACTATATTAGAAAAGAGTACAATAAGATTTACATCTAAATGTAATTTAGGATTTAATTAAAGTTCTACTCAAACCGAGTTTTACAGTCTTCATAATTAACCATCTCAAGTTTAATCGGGAAAAAAATCTATCCAAAATATCATAAAACTCTAAAAATTACATTAATAGTCTATTTCTTTTAATTCTAAAAACTAATATTTATTAAATATAATTGATCAAAAAAATTTAATCCCTATTCTTCGCTTAAAAGAATTATAATAAAATTCAACTAATTAAATATCTTACCATTAGAATTTGAATATATTTCTAACTGTAGCTGTCTAACTATTTAAGCACGCAATAGGTTCAAATATTAGATGAGACACCACTTGGTTTAATATCATACAAGACACCGATTCCATGCACGGCAAGGTTTACAGCATTGACAAAAGCTGCATATAAATTGAAGTCGAAGAAACCAAAGCAACCCACCCCTCCTCCTCCTCCTCCTCCTCCTTCTTTCTCCTCCTAGTCATCGTCATCGCCATCGTTGTCTCATTGTCTGGCTTGAGAACATTGTGTTAATTTCACCAAAAAGAAAAGGACAAGACATGTGGATTGACGATGATGTTGGTGTGGAACGGGATGATGCAGTCCAAACAGATGATGAAGAAATGGCACGCGGAAACATTCAAGGGGATGACAGTAATATAGAACCTGTGTTAACCCCATCCAGCAATTACCTTGAACTAAACAATTCATGGCCTCAAAGCTACAGGTTTTTCTATTTTCCCTTTCATTGCTGCTTGGATTTCGTTTTTCTTGCCGATCTATTCTTATTATTTATCTTATGCATGATGTTGGTGCATGTGAAAAGCAATGTACGTAGTTATGAATCATCTTATCATATGTTCATGAATGAATAGTCTATGCTACTGCTATAACTCTTTCAACATGACAACTGGGCCCTTCAATTATTTCTAACTTTAATTTCAAGTACAGACCATAAATATCTGTCATTTGTGTCATAGGCAACAAACTATGTATTCTTTGTGTGAATCTGATATATTAAGTTGCACGTGTGGCTAAACCTAGTTCTTTTCTAAAAGTGCACAACGTAGTCCATCACTTGCATAAAATTCAACCTCCAGAATCATGCCTGGGTCGAAAACATGCATTTGAAGACAATGGTTATGCTGTTCCTCGTGCAGCTAAAACTTAGTACTGATTTATAAGAATATGCATAAATTTCAATAAACCATGTTGCCATGGTTGGATACATGCAGGGAATCAATGGATATGTTCAAAGGTATTACACCTGCATCCATCAGCTTGAACGGGACTTCTCCCTTTTCCGACTATCAAAGCAACGATGACGAGACTTCCCTCGGTAAATCACTCCTTTCTGAAAGAACTTTAAATGAACAAGTTCCGATATCTATTCTCCCAGATCCACTGCAAAGAGTATCTTTCCATGAATCAATACCATCAATGAAGCGGTGTTCATTTACACAAGCACTTGTTAACGTTAATGTAACCATTTAATCAACCTTTAATTTTCGAACAACTTATGTGCCTTTCATGCTGTTAAAGGCTTCTCGTCGGTTTTCTTTACGTAGGAATCAATGTTCTGAGCGGCATAGGACTCCTTATGCTGTTAAAGGAGGGTGGATCATGGATGAGCCTTACTCTGCTCCTAATATTTGGTGTTGTTGCCTGTTATACTGGTGTTTTGTTAAAGAGATGCTTAGAGAGCTTTCCTGGTCTACAAACTTATCCCGATATCGGACAGGCTGCTTTCGGCCGGTCGCTTTATTATAGATGTAAGTGTGATTATAATCCCAAAGTGAGTATCCTCCAATATTATTCCTGTATAAATTTTTTGTTTGCCATTGCGAGTTAACAGAGATACTAGCACTAGACACTTTGGTTTCAATTGGTGAAATGCAGAATTATAAGCATGTACAATGATTTGATTTCTTGGTTCAATCTCATCTTCTGCAGAATCTGCACTAAAAGATTAAACTGTGCATCTAATCTGTAGCTGCCTGTGTCGAGTACGTAATAATCATGAGCGACAACCTGTCCACGATTTTCCCAAACACCAGCATACATATTGGCGGAATATATCTTAATGCTCATCAAATATTTGCTATTATAGGAATTCTCATTGTTCTCCCACTGTTTGGCCCCGAGACCTTAGTTTGCTGTCATACCTTTCAGGTTCGATTTCTCATCCCCTTAAAAAGCTTTAAAGCTATGAGATTGTTGATCTTAATCTTTTGAAATGTTCAGTTGGTGGAGTAGGAGAATCAATTTTAGTGGTACTTTGCTTGTTATGGGTCGGGACTGTCAATCAAACCGGGTTTCATCGAGCTGGAACTGCTCTTAACCTGCCAAACCTACCCATTTCAGTTGGTATATATAGTTTCTGCTATGCAGGCCATTCTGTTTTTCCAAATATATATTCTTCCATGAAAGAGCCTTCACTTTTTCCACTTGTACTTATTATCAGGTAACATAAAATCACACCTTAATTTAGATATGGACAGAATTTCACATTCACTTTGTGTTTCTTGTGTTTCTTGTGTTTCAGCTTTATATTTTGTTGGTTCATCTGCACTGGGGCAGCAATCTCAGGTTTTCTGATATTTGGAAATTCAATTGAATCTCAGTTTACATTAAACATGCCAATAAAATTTGCAGCCTCCAAAGTCGCTGTCTGGACAGTGGTATGTGTGTTCTTACTTTATTTTCATGCTTGTTCACACATTTCCAAGGCCTGAAAAATGGCTATTGTTTCCCATCAGGTGATTATAACAATATCAAAGTATGCCTTGACACTCACTCCCATTGCATCGAGTCTAGAAGAACTCGTACCTTTGACATGGTCGAGATCTTATGGTGTTTCCATACTCATCAGAACAGCTTTAGTGATTTCAACTTTAGTTGTTGCAATGGCAGTTCCCTTCTTCGGTAAAAAAAAAAAGGGAGAACACATTTAGATTTACAGTTCAATTCATTCCAATATTACCTTCTTGTTCATTTCTCAACCTTTCTTACCTGCAGCTTTTCTCACGGCATTGGCTGGATCTTTACTCACAATGCTAATTGTAAGTTCTTTAATCAGAGACAGTTAAAAAAAGAAGTGTATTTTTTTAAAACAATTTCTGTGTCTGCTATTTTATTAATCAGACTATTATATTCCCATGATCCTGTTATCTCAGCATACTTGGTGGTAAATTAACCAATTTGCAAGTAAGAATCCTTAATTGCAGCTTTTCAAGATTAGTATATATATATATATATATACATGTTTGCACTTTGTTTGACATGAATATTTTCTGGCAATCAGATGGGAGAGTGCATTTTCATTGCCATTGTGGGGTTTTTGATTGCTTGTGATGGCACATATTCGGCGCTCATAAGATTAGCAGCAGGCCAACGTTGATGAAAGGTGGCTGCAACTGCACAGTTCTATGTGCTTGTATCAGAGAAATTTTAATGTCAAGAAATAATCCTGTCAAATGTGTCACAGCAAATTGTATCAGAGAAACATATTAATATTTTACACAATAATTAATATCAATACCAATAGAGAAGTGTCCATATCCTTCTGAATTACTATAATTTTAGCACTCTTCTCAAAATTTTCAAGTTGAATATTGACATGAGAGAGTTCAATATTGATATCTATCTCCTAAATTTATTGATTTTTATTTATTTATTAATATAACTCTCTAAATTTAAATTAGATTATTTTGATCGAATTTAAGTGTCACAAAAATCTTTTAAATTTATTTTATTTACAAGGCATCGTAATACACATACCTAAAAACATAAAAAAAAACGAGCACGAGACTGACTCAACACCTCCAATACATCATACATATGTCCCGCACGTTCCCAATTCATCATATCACCAATGTACCACATCAATACACATATTTAACACCAAATAACAATCACTTTACACATGCAATTTTATCAAGCATAATCAGGGAAACTTCATGGGGACTAGTGGGATCATACCCCAAAAATATTTAAAAAACAGAATAAATATGTTTGTATACATATATAATATATTAAAAGAGTTACGATCTCTATACACATAGTAATTTTTTTTAATTTCACACAGATTTACAATCATTAAATTGGTAGAAATAGATGGTTGAGATTAACTCTATTTTTCTCCCATTGAATATCTTCTCATTTTATATTGTTAATCTCAACCGTCTATTTCTACTCATCTAATGGTCTTAAATATGTATAAAATTAAAAGAGTTTTATGCTGCATAATATTTAAAGAGTTGTACACTTTAAAATTTAAAAATTACACATACACACGCGCACGTACGCACGCAGACACACAAACATACATGCAAACCATTAAAGTGAAGGAATATGAACAAATTTAGAAAAAAATAATAATAATGTAAACCATGTTTAGATTCTTTTTTAACTTGAAACCCATATTAAGTTATATTTTTTAAATATAAAAAATTAATTTTTTTGAAGCTCTCGTTAAAATGACGATGATTTTTATCTTTAAAAGTCTTAAATGATGGATTATCTTCATAAAGTAAGCTCTTTTAATGTCAAGTTTCAAACTTTATGGATAAAATAAGAAAGAGGGATAAAGAGGGAGAAAAGAGGCGAGGGAATGCTATTTAAACTCGGTCCAATCCTAATTCCTTTCCAATTTAAACTCAATCTTAATCCATCATTTCTAAGTTAGTTATGTAACACCCCAATTTTCTAAGTTTGAAATTCGATTGATCAAACATAATTTTTTTATTTAATTATTACTTTAATCGATATCAAATACTATTTAGTTCCTTATTTCTTTAATATCAAATGCTGAAACACATTTGACATGATTATTTCTTGACATAAAATTTCTCTGTTACAAGCACATGGAACTGTGCAGTTGCAGCCACTTTTCATCAACGTTGGCCTGCTGCTTATCTTATGAGCGCCGAATATGTGCCATCACAAGCAATCAAAAACCCCACAATGGCAATGAAAATGCACACTCCCATCTAATTGCCAGAAAATATTCATGTCAAATAAATTGCAAACATGTATATATATATATATATAGTAATCTTGAAAAGCTAATTATGGATTCTTACTTGCAAATTGGTTAATTTACCGCCAAGTATGCTGAGATAACAGGCACATGGGAATATAATAGTCTGTATAATAAAACAGCAGACACAAATGTTAAGACACACACACACACATTTGTTTTTTAACTCTCTGATTGAAGAACTTACAATTAGCATTGTGAGCAAAGATCCAGCCAATGCCATGAGAAAAGCTGCAGGAAAGAAAGGTTGAAAAATGAACAAGAAGGTAATATTGGAATGAATTGAACTGTAAATCTAAATATGTTCTCTCTTTTTTACCGAAGAAGGGAACTGTCATTGCAACAACTAAAGTTGAAATCGTTAAAGCTGTTCTGATGAGTATGGATACACCATAAGATCTCGACCATTTCGAAGGTACGAGTTCTTCGAGACCCGATGCAATGGGAGTGAGTGTCAAGGCATACTTTGATATTGTTATAATCACCTGATGGAAAACAATTGCCATTTTTCAGGCCTTGGAACTGTGTGAAGAAGCATGAAAATAAAGTAAGAACATACGTACATACCACTGTGCAGACTGCAATTTGGAGGCTGCAAATTTTATTGGCATGTTTCTGAGATTCAATCGAGTCACCAAATATCAGAAAACCAGAGATTGCTGCCCCAGTGCAGATGAACCAACAAAATATAAAGCTGAAACACGAGAAGCACAAGTTTAACAAAGTGAATGTGAAATTCTGTCCATATATAAGTTAAGGTGTAATTTTATGTTACCTGAGTATAAGTACAAGCGGAAAAAGTGAAGGCTCTTTCATGGAAGAATATATATCTGGAATTACCTTATGGCCTGCATAGAAGAAACTATATATACCAACATAAATGGGTAGGTTTGCCAGGTTAAGAGTAGTTCCAGCTCGATGAAACCCAACTTGATCGACAGCCCCAACCCATAACAAGCAAAGTACCACTAAAATTGATGCTCCTACTCCACCAACTGAACATTTCAAAAGGTTAAGGTCAGCAATCTCATGGCTTTAAAGCGGTTTCAGAAGGATGAGAAATCGAACCTGAAAGGTATGACAGCAAACTAAGATCTCGGAGCCAAACAGTTGGGAGAACAATGAGAATTCCTATGATAGAAAATATTTGATGAGCATTAAGATATATTCCGCCAATATGTATGCTGGTGTTTGGGAAAATCGTGGACGTATTGTCGCTCATGATTATTACGTACTCGACGCACGCAGCCTTCAGATTAGAGGCAGATTTAATCTTAGTGAAGATTCTGCAGAACATGAGAATGAACCAAGAAATCAACATAAATCAAATCATTGTACTAACATATAATTCTGCATACAAAGTTACCTGCATTTAACCAATTGAAACCAAAGTGTCTAGTGTTAGTATCTCTGTCAATGCAATTGTAAACAGAAAATGTATATAGGAATAATATTGGAGGGTACTCAATTTGAGCTTATAATCACACTTACAGCTACAATGAAGCGACCGGCTACACCGAAAGCAGCCTGTCCGATATCGGGATAAGTGTGTAGACCAGGAGAGCTCTCTAGGCATCTCTTTAACAAAATATCAGTATAACATGCAACGACACCAAATATTATGAGCAGAGTAAGACTCATCCACCCTCCTTCTTTAACAGCATAAGGAGTCGTAAGGAGTCCTATGCCGCTCAGAACATTGATTACTACGAAAAGAATGTTGGAAAATAAACAAAGTACGAGTAATTTCCCTATAACCAGATTAGTGAGAATGCGAAATAAAAACGGAAAAATAATACCCGAAAAATTGATAACAGAGTTCAGCCAATTGTGCCTATGTCTCCAGACTGCTGCAGATCTTTTACTAAGAGAGAAAATTTACAAGTGTTTACAAAACACTCACTACTCACAAGAAAGCTCTCTAGTATTGGGAGAAAGAAATGATTTTTGGGATGTTGGGATGATTATGAAGCTAAATGGGCTAGGGTATTTATAGTTGAAGCTTAGGGACTAATCTTGTAAATACCCTAAAAATGCAATGACTAAAGTTGCAATATTCCCATTTCCTATTTTCAAAAAAAAAACAACACCGAAATCGGTGCATTAATTTCTAGCCAAAATTGTTGAAAACCATTGCCACCCCCTGTTGAAATCAATTTTGGCCGCCCCCTTTTTTGACTTGGTGGCTACTTGCTTTTAATTTCAACAATCTCTCACTTGAAGACTGATTTTAATCTGTCTTCACACCTCGATCGATGCAGCAGCATTTCTCGTCTCGTTATTCTAGCATGCCAAATGAAGCTGAACACAACTTCAGTTTGTCTGCAGTCACCGTCTTTGTTAACATGTCTGTCGGATTTTGAGCTCCACTAATCTTTTCAAGTTTCAAAATCTCATCTTCCAGAAGAGACCGGATAAAATGATATCGCAGTTGTATGTGCTTCGTCCTAGAATGAAAATACGGATTCTTCGCTAGATGGATAACACTTTGACTATCGCAATACAAGACATTGTTTTCTTGTTTCTTGCCTAACTCTTCCAAGAAACTTTGGAGCCAGACCATCTCCTTGCTGGCTTCTGTAACAGCGACATATTCTGCTTCAGTTGTAGAGAGAGCAAATATCTTCTGTAGTTGAGAAACCCAACTCACTGCGGTTCCTCCTAGAGTATAGACATACCTTGTAGTGTACCTTCTGATGTCAACATTTTCGGCTAAGTCAGCATCTACATAGCCTGTCAGTTTCGTATCTCCACTTTTGAAACAAAGTGCTTTGTTTTTGGTACCCCGCAGATATCTGAGGATCCATTTGACTGCTTCCCAGTGTACCTTGCCCGGATTATTCATGTACCTGCTAACAGCTCCCACTGCATGAGCAATATCTGGTCTAGTACAAACCATGGCATACATTAGACTTCCAATTGTTGAGGCATACGACACCTTCACCATGTGTGCAAGTTCTTCCTCCTTCTTTGGTGATTGTTCTTTGGAAAGTCTGAAATGGACACCTAAAGGTGTACTTACTAGTTTAGCATCTTGCATGTTGAACCTGGAGAGTACTTTGTTGATGTACTCAGCCTGTGATAACATCAAAGTCCCCGACTTTGTGTCTCTCTTAATCCTCATCCCAAGAATCTGCTTTGCAGTGCCCAAATCCTTCATAGCAAACTGCTTCGACAATTTTTGTTTCAAGTTTATAATCTCATGCATGTTTGAGCCTGCAACAAGCATGTCATCAACGTACAACAATAAAATAATGAAGCTATTGTCGAACCTCTTGATGTAGCAATAATGATCTGCTTGACATATGGTAAAACCATTGCTACCCATGAAGTTGTCGAACTTCTTGTACCACTGTCTAGGAGCTTGTTTTAAACCATACAAGCTCTTCTTCAACCTGCATACCAGATTTTTCTTGTCTGCCTTTATAAAGCCTTCTGGCTGCCTCATATAGATTTCTTCCTCCAAATCACCATGAAGGAAAGCTGTCTTTACATCTAACTGCTCAAGATGTAAATTCTCTACAACTACAATTTTCAACACCAGTCTGATTGTAGACAGTTTTACAACTGGAGAGAAAATTTCATTGTAGTCAATACCTTCTTTTTGCTGAAAGCCTTTGACAACCAATCTTGCTTTGTAGCGTTTGCTCCCATCGTGTTATTCTTTGATCCTGTAAATCCACTTATTTTGGAGTTCTTTCTTGTCTGGTGGTAATTCAGCTAATTCCCAGGTCTGATTTGACACAAGTGAGTTCATCTCATCTTTCATGGAAGACTCTCACTTGACTGAATCCTCCACTTGCTTTGCTTCATCATAGCACTCTGGTTCACTATTATCAGTTAGCAACAAGTAGTGCAAAGAAGGAGAATGTCGTTGGGTTGGTTTAGGAATTCTGGAGGAGCGTCTCAGTTCTGGTGTGCCTGGTTCTTCCTGAACTGCTTCAGGATTGATCTGAACATCATTTCTAGAAATCTCCTCAAACTCAGCAAATTCCTTTGTTTCAGCTTCGGTATTGGAGCTACTTGATTCTACAGTTGACCTCTCTTTGTATATCACATTCTCATTGAAAATGACATATATGCTTCTGATGATCTTTCGATTTTCGTAGTCCCAAAATCGGCAATCGAACTCATCACCACCATAACCAACAAAGACGCATTTGTTGGACTTGGCATCAGGTTTACTTCTTTTAGCAGAATCTATGTGTACATAAGAAATACAACCAAACACTCTTAAGTGTGAAAGGTTTATTTCTTTCTTGCTCCAAACTTCCTCTGGTATTCTGCCATCCAAAGGAACTGAAGGCCCACGGTTGATCAGGTAAGATGCAGTGTTGATAGCTTTAGCCCATAAAAAATTTGGGCAAACCGACATGTATCCTCATACTTCTGGCACGTTCATTCAGAGTTCTGTTCATGCGATCTGCTACGCCATTCTGTTGCGGTGTCATGGGAACTATTGTCTCCATCTTGATCCCATTGTTTACACAGAAATCTCTAAATCTTCTATTTTTGTACTCTCCTCCATTATCAGACCTCAACCGCTTGACTTTCAAACCAGTCTCATTTTCCACCATGACTTTTCATTTTCTGAAAGTATCAAAGACTTCTGATTTCTTCTTCAGAAAATAAACCCACACCTTCCTCGTAGAATCATCGATGAAGGTGACATAATATAATGAGCCTGCAAGAGATGGAACTGGAGATGGTCCCCATACATAAGTATGAACCAACTCCAACTTTTCAGTCTTGGGTGTCTTGCCAATCTTTGCAAAACTCATTTTCTTTTGTTTGCCAAAGATGCAATCCTCGCATAGTCCGACATCTACACTCTTTAGATCCGGCAGTTTGCCTTTTAACAAAAGTGTCTTTATCATTTTCTCGCTCATATGACCAAGCCTTTGGTGCCATAGGTTTGATTTTCCATCAGCATCTGTTGCAGCAATGATATTCTCTAAATTTGATGTTACATAGAGAGTATCAGTCTTCTTACCACGAGCAATGATGAGTGCTCCTTTGGTAATCTTTCATTCACAGCCTGAAAAGGTTGTGCTATATCCTTTTCCATCAAGCTGTCCTACAGAAATCAAATTTCTTTTGAGGCCAGGAATATGTCTCACTCCCTTCAGCGTTCAGGTGGTCTGGTTTGACAATTTTAATCGGATGTCTCATTTTCCGACGATCTTCAAGGTTTCATCATCAGCTAGATAAACCTTCCCAAAATCACCACTGACATAGTTCTCCATGATTTCTCGGCATGGGGTGGAGTGGAAAGATGCCCCTGAATCCAAGATCAATGATTCAGTCGGACTGTTTACGCTTAGAATCATGGCATCACCTGTCTCCTATGTCACGTTGGCAGATTCCCGTGCGCCGGTATTTTTCTTCAGTGCTCGGCAATCTCTTTTAAATTTCTCGGCATGGGGTGGAGTGGAAGATGCCCCTGAATCCAAGATCAATGATTCAGTCGGACTGTTTACGCTTAGAATCATGGCATCACCTGTCTCCTATGTCACGTTGGCAGATTCCCGTGCGCCGGTATTTTTCTTCAGTGCTCGGCAATCTCTTTTAAAGTGACCCTTCTTGCCACAATTATAACATGTAAAATCTTTCTTTCATGTTCTTGATTTTCCCGTTCTGGATTTGGATCTGGCATGATTTGAATTTCTTTCTGAAGTTCTCCCTCTGGTCTCCGTGTGCAAGGCTGAGGAGGTTGATGCTTCACCCGATTCTCTCCGTCGAATTTCTTCGCTCAGTACCAGATCTCGAACATCGTCGAATTTCAATTTACTATTTCTCGACGAGCTGCTAACTGCTGTAACAGTAGCATTCCAACTGTCTGGTAGAGATGATAAGAGAATTAAAGCTCAAACCTCATCATCAAATTCAATTTCCACGGAACTCAACTGGGTTGTAATTGTGTTGAGTTCATTTAGGTGTTGAGCCACTGATGCCCCTTCCGCCATCCGTAAATTGAATAATCGCCTCATCAAATGAACTTTTTTTAGGCCGATGGCTTCTCATACATACTGGAGAGAGCCGCCATAAGACCTGTCGGGGTCTTTTCTTTTGCTATGTTGAAAGCAACATTTCGGGACAACGTCAGTCGGATAACTCCGAGGGTTTGTCTGTCGAAAAGAGCTCAATCTTCATTCTTCATGCCCTCTGTTTTTTTTTTCCTAAGAGAGGTTGATAGAGATTTTTCTGGTACAAAAAATCTTCAATCTGCATCTTCCAAAAACCAAAGTCCACACCATCGAACTTTTCAATTTTCACCTTCCCTTCGTCTGCAGCCATCGCTCCCACTCGAATTTGGCTTCGTTTGGATTGTTTCTGACAATTCTTGCGAACCACCGTGTATTAGAACATCTTCGTCGACAAATTCGTAACGCCGACAATTTTTTTTACTATTCACGAAATTCACTATTCTCGTGAACAATAATGAATAGTAACCTCGCAAAAAAATTGACAAATTTCACAACCAAAAGCTTCGATTACCAGTTGTTGGGAAATAAACAGAGTACGAGTAATTTCCCTATAACCAGATTAGTGAGAATGCGAAATAAAAACAGAAAAATAATACCCGAAAAATTGATAACGGAGTTCAGCCAATTGTGCCTATGTCTTCGGACTGCTGTAGATCTTTTACTAAGAGAGAAAATTTACAAGTGTTTATAAAACACTCACTACTCACAAGAAAGCTCTCTAGTATTGGGAGAAAGAAATAATTTTTGGGATGTTGTGATGATTATGAAGTTAAATGGGCTATGATATTTATAGTTGAAGCTTAGTGACTAATCTTGTAAATACCCTAAAAAATGCAATGACTAAAGTTACAATATTCCCATTTCCTATTTTTTTAAAAAACAGCATCGAAATCGGTGCATTAATTTCAAGGCAAAATTGTTGAAAACCATTGCCACCTCCTGTTGAAATCAATTTTGGCCGCCCCTTTTTTGACTTGGTGGCTGCTTGCTTTTAATTTCAACAAAGAAAACCGATGAGAAGCCTTTAACAGCATGAAAGGCACATAAGTTGTTCGAAAACTAAAGGTTGATTTAATGGTTACATTACCATTAACAAGTGCTTGTGTAAATGAACACTGCTTCGTTTATGGTATTGATCCATGGAAAGGTACTCTTTGCAGTGGATCTGGGAGAATAGATATCGGCACTTGTTCATTTAAAGTTCTTTCATAAAGGAGTGCTTTACCGAGGCCGGAAGTCTCGTCATCGTTACGCTGATAGTCGGAAAAGGGAGAAGTCCCGTTGAAGCGGATGGATGAAGGTGTAATACCTTTTAACATATCCATTGATTCCCTCTATGTATCGTTTATTGAAATTTATGCAAATTCTTATAAATCAGTACTATGTTTTAGGTACACGAGGAACAGGATAACCATGGACTTCAAATGCATGTTTTCGACCCAGGCATGATTCCGAAGGTTGAGTTTTATGCAAGTTATTGACTACGTTTTGCTCTCTTAGAAAATAACTAGGTTTAGTTACATGTGCAACTTAATATATCAAAATGCATAGTTTGCTGCTTCCGACACAAATGAAATATAGATGTTTAATGTTATCGTTTTAAGTGTTTGGTCCGTTAAAACTATTAAAAAATCGTTAACCACTCAAAACATAACATCAACAAAACAATAAATTATATCGGGGGTGGATGTATGTAGTACATCCATTATTTTAGGAGAATATTAAATTTAATTTGTTAATGAGAATAAAAAATTAAAATAAATTATTAAAATTTTAGGCCCTCGTATTTTAATTTTTAAATCGGGCCTCGACCGAAACCAAGTGGTATCTCATCGACTTCAATTTATGATACTAAACCAAGGGGAGTAAGACGGATACATTGAAATTTATTTTTAAATCTAATGCTTAATCTGAGTTTAATTAATTTTGGATATTTTATGCTCAATAATAATTGGGTCAGCATCAAATCACACGTACAATTTAGTCACAACCAACATAAACCTTAAAATCCCAACTAAACAACCCTTAGGGTATTTTAGTAATTTCACATATATATATTTTTTTTGTTATTTAGCTCAGAAAGACATTTTAGTCATTTTCACACTCGATAATATATTATACGTTTAACGGCTAATGACAAGAGTACCTGATCAATGTCCTAGAAAATTTTTCTTGAAATTCAAAGTACTTTTCTTGATATTTACATAAATAAGGGCATTTTAATCATTATTTATAATCGTGGGTATTGTGATTATTACCTAACTCGTAATTACTAAACTTTTATGACATTTTTCTTAAAATTAAAAGTATTTATTTCGGGCCATTAATATTTATTATTTAAATTTAAGGGCATTTTGATAATTTTTCCTATTTCTCAATCGGATGTTAGGACGAACGTCCAAATATACCATACGAAGCATTATCATTATGAAAATCTATAAAACATTTAGAGTTCGAAATATACTCAACTTAATTACTTGAATTCGATACTATTTTGAGTTATTATAATTTTGGCTTTGCGAGTTTTTGAGGTAAATATGAACATCATAGGGTCCAATATTGATATTTATCTCCCAAATTTAGTAAAAAAAATTTCTATTTTAAGCATGCTTTTTCACAGGATTTGTTCAGAGATTGTAAGTATCTGATGTTGGAAATCAAACGTAATTCTAGAATTTTGAAAAGTCAAAAAATGACTAAAAAATATGCTTAATTATTAAGCAAAATGCATGCTTAATAATTAAGGGAAAAACGTGTCAACAAAAGCAATTAAGATGTGTATGCTTAATCATTAAGCACATGTGAATTAAAATATGAAAGTTAGTCAAACATGGAGGCAATGGGAAAACTTGGCAAGCAACCATGGGAAACTTCATGAATTACTTAGAAATTAAGCTAATAATATTATAATATGGGTGGGCAGCAACAAAACATGGCAGCAGCAAAAGTTGGGTTGGCAAGCTTGGCAATTAAGGAAGTATTAGGCGGCAGAGAGAAATTGAGAAGCGTCCAGAGTAGTTCAAGGCGGTTTATTACATCTATATATACGGGTGTTTTACTTTAGTTTATATGAACACAAGTAAGAAAAAATGAAGGCATAGAAAAGCTAATGAAAAATAGCTTAGCAAAGCTATTAAAGAGAGAGGGTAGAGCTTAGCAAAGCTTAGGAATATGATTGAAAGCTTAGAAAAGCTATGAGAGAATTTGAGTAAAGCTTAGCAAAGCTTAGAATACTGAGGTTGTGTTTGTAAACTAGCTGCAGCTAGTGTTGTAGCATTGTAATATGGGGTAACGTCGTTGTAACGTATTTTACCTCGTATTAATAAAAGTTCGAGTGTTATAAATTATTTGAGTGCCCATCTACACTTCCAACAAGTGGTATCAGAGCTTGGTTCAAGTTTAACGTGGTGGAGAAGATGACCAACATGATTCAACCTCAAATTCTGAGATTGACAAAGACAAACTATGGCAACTGGAGCATTCAAATGAAGGCGTTACTAGGCTCCCAAGATTGTTGGATATCATCGAGGATGGTTACACCGAGCCTGAAAATACAATAGCATAAGCAATCCTAGCCAATGAAGAAAATAAGGTATTGAAGGAATCTCGGAAAAAAGATAAAAGAGCGTTGTTCTTTATTTTTCAAGGAGTAGACAAATCTACCTTTGAAAAAATTTCTTATGCGAAGATCGTAAAACAAGCGTGGGAGATTTTGCAAAAATCTCTACAAGGTGTCGAAAAAGCAAAGAAGAATACATAGACGCAGCAACGTGCACTTGCCAAGAAATGAAGAATCAATTGAAGATGACAAGTGGAGAAAAGCTCAGAATGGAAAATCAAGTTTAAGGAGGAGTGTTGGAAATAAAACTTAATTCTAGAAGTTTGAAAAGTCAAAAAAATGGCTAAAAAATATGCTTAATTATTAAGCAAAATGCATGCTTAATAATTAAGGGAAAAAACGTATCAACAAAAGCAACTAAGATGTGTATGCTTAATCATTAAGCACATAGGAAATAAAATATGAAAGTTAGTCAGACATGAAGGCAATGGAAAAGCGTGGCAAGCAACCATGGGAAACTTCATGAATTACTTAGAAATTAAGCTAATAATATTATAATATGGGTGGGCAGCAACAAAACATGGCAGCAGCTCAAGTTGGGTTGGCAAGCTTGGCAATTAAGGAAGTATTAGGCGACAGAGAGAAATTGAGAAGCATCCAGAGTAGTTCAAGGCGGTTTATTACATCTATATATGCGGGTGTTCTACTTTAGTTTATATGAACACAAGTAAGAAAAAAATGAAGGCTTAGAAAAGCCAATGAAAAATAGCTTAGCAAAGCTATTAAAAAGAGAGGGTGAAGCTTAGCGAAGCTTAGGAATATGATTGAAAGCTTAGAAAAGCTATGAGAGAATTTGAGTAAAGCTTAGCAAAGCTTAGAATATTGAGGTTGTGTTTGTAAAGTAACCGCAACTAGTGCTGTAGTATTGTAATATGGAGTAACGTCGTTGTAACGTATTTTGCCTCGTATTAATAAAAGTTCGAGTGTTATAAATTGCTCGAGTGCCCACCTACGCTTCTAACATGTGATGGGTTAAGCATGAACAATATGTTTAGCATGATTCAAGGTATTTGAATGTATCCACTGTAAGTTTAATGACACGTAAGTGAATGAATCGATGTAAGTTTAATGACACGTAAGTGAATGAATCGATGTAAGTTTGATTTGACTAATATAACTTTCTGAATTCAAGTTAGATCGTTCTAATCGAATTTAGGATGTCATGAAAATCCTTTAAAATTATTTTATTATTTATAAGACATCGATACTCACACCTAAAAACCCATAAAATGAGTATGAAAATAAATGACTCAAACTCTTCGATTTTGAGAATCTATCTATTACTTGTGCATCATTTTTATCTTTGCGTCCTCATCGTTGACAATTTAAAAAATCTTAATGAACCAAATCGATCTTAACCCTATCACATAAGTAAGAAAACCACCATGTTAGAATGGAGTAAGAAATTATTTTATATTCAATAAACCTCACTTGTTAAGGGATTGTTGTTATTCCTTGAGATCTCAGGTTCAAACATTACGTTGGGAGAGGTATATGAGCGTTTATTATCAAATTATTGAATGTCTTTCGAATAGATACTATATTATATTCATCTTAGATTGATTAAAAAAATAAAATAAAAACGCATCCCAAACATGGGGCAACGGTTTACCAATTACCATAGCCGTTGGAGTCGGACCCTCCAAAGTCCAAGCCCACGGTCCTGTGTTTGTAAACAATTGAACACAGCATGTGCAACCACCTGTTCAAAGGAATTGGATTCACATTTCAAGAATCTGTTGGTACAACTGATGCACGTGAATGTTAAATAATTTATCCTCCCTTTTTTTCACTTTTGGATTGCCAATTTCCATTGTATTAACTGCAGAATGGCCATCCTCTTGATCTTTCTTACAGATTTGTGGAACCACAGAGATTCAGTTTTCATATAACTCCCTACCAGTATTCATGTTCCTTGTTCTCTAATTGTAAACAAGTTCGTTTTCAGTTGCATGTCTGAATCAATGTTTTAGTTGTACGATTTTAAAGGTAAAAGACTTCACATTTTAAAGGTTTGATGTCATTTTTAAACTCAAATTAATAATTATGTCATTATTTCTTAATTATATAAACTTTCTATGAACTCAGGTTGTGTATCCAAGTCCAATTCGAAGATCCAAAATAGGAAAGATCAGTGAAATAACAAATTAGAGTTATTTTTGATCAGTCGCAACGACGTCAAATCCAACCCTAAGAAAAATAAACTACAAAAAAGACCAAACGATGGAAAAGGAAAATCGAAAAATGTGCCAAAAATATAAATAAATGTACCAAAATATAAAAATAAACGTGTTATAAAGATAAAATTATTAGAAACAAAAAAGATAAAGATACAAGATAAAAAAAAACAGAAAGGATTAAACAATAGTTTAGAGAGAGAGAAAAAAAAACGGTTAGGATTTTTTCAATCATTTAAACATGTATTTTATGTTAAAACCGTTCATATATAATCTAATCTCGATTAATTTAATTATTTTTTTCACATTATAGCTATCGTCAAGTCATGAATTTCATTATTATATCTTCTCTTAGTCGTCTGGCATTGCATGAATAATAAGAAAATTCAGACCTACCCGAAGAACCGTATTTGTACATAAAAGAAATCACTAAACTATGCAGTGAAACAC